AATAGCACCATATTTATATGCCCGAATACTCCCTGAAAGTCACGAACTCTACACCTATATACCAACAACACCCAGCCTACGTAGGACTTACCAACCAGAACTTGAGAATTCACCACTGGTATCTTTACTCATACTAGTAACAGATACCCTTCAGATGATTGCATAACTGCCAATACATCTTCCAATCTCTGTCTTTACTGCAAATTGACCCTTCCTCTGCAAAATACTTTTAACCCCCCAAAAAAAAAATCCTCCATTTTTTTTTTTCTTCTTCAATTACCAAAAGTTACCTACAACAGATTGTGCACTTCACTACCCATCAACAACCAAGGGGGTTCACTTACAAAGCCCACTGTTTCTTAAAGATCCAGTCTAACCACTGGTTTTCTCCTCCTTTACCCATGGCTTTAGCGAGTTTAGCCAGAAGTGCTGGGACTTTTGTTGCTAAATCAACAGCGGCTTTGGCCGTCATGGTCCCCTTATTTGCGTTAGCATCTGCCATTGTGTTACAACAAATCAATACTACAGGTATACCCCACTGTAAATACAATACACGCACAGTGCTCACTCAAGACCCAAGGACTGGTACTGATTTTCTGCAATACGACTAACACTCCATGCATCAACTATTCAAACTACTGTTCAGATTATTAATCTCCCCAAAGATACTATTATGGCATCAAAAATTCACTTAGACACTTTGCCATTCACAGACTCAGTATGGTGCAACACTGCGTGAACACTTCACGAATTTCCGTACTCACAATTCTGGGTCCATACACTTGTATAACATTTTCCATATACCGTATCACCATAAGGTCCTCACATATATAATACTGTATTCTGAAAGTATACTGGCATTAGAGTTCACATAACATACGTTACACAAAATAATGACCCGTTAGCACCTGGTTAAAATAACTTTAAAATTATAGCGTATACATAGGAATATTAATAGTAGGAACTGTAAAATGCCCCGAGATATTAAGTAAATGGAATATATATCCTACCTAACACATAACTAAAGAATATTACAAATGCAGAATTAGCATCCACTTAACCTTTGCATATAGTGCAATGCTTCTGTTAGCACTCAGAATTAAAACACTGGGCACTCCCACGATGGAACATTTCACAACTAGTGCCACGGCCCAAACATGTATTCACTGTCTGTAAGTAATACTGAGTTAACAACAGAAAAAAAAATTTGGGCAGATTGTTACATATCAAAATTCTTCCAATATTAATGAACCTTATTCACACTCTACAAGTTATTGTTGCAGGTTTCCTTTTACTTTAAACAAGACTTTTCTAACCTAACTCCAAGGTATTTCTTTGAACTTATTTCACTCTCTCTGCAAACCACCACAAAAAGCTGTACCTCGGAAAAATATGGAACAAAATCATTAGCAATCTGAAATACTCATTAGTTACAGTGGAATGGTTATTAAATACCCGTACAGAGAAATGGTTATAACTCAGTTAAAAACTACAGTATCACAGTCATTCCTCCCAACTCGATACTATGTTCATTACATCACCATAGCTGCCACCATTTATGAGGGCTTGAGCTGCCACCATTTATGAGGGCTGCTACTGCCACCCTTCATGAGGGCCTGTGTGCCAGTAACAATTCCTTTTACTCTTATATATCACCATTGGTAGCGTGACGATAGGAGGCTCGTGGGTAAGTGTAATGATAGTATCAAGCAATAGGGAAGAAATAACGGTAAATACTGTAGGTAAATAATATACACAATTATACAAATACAAAGTTTATTTAAACATGAATATGAAATTAGAAGAAAGAATTGGTTGGTACTAACAGACGAAATCTATTACTAGGCCCTCAGGCTCAACATACTCACACCATTACTGGGTGGACATATTCAATACCCTTCCAACCCTACTGGGTGGACATACTCAATAGCACAACTAGGATAGTCACTTAGCACCATAAATACTAGGCAACTGCCACTACAACACTCAGTCGTCAGGAGTGATACTCAAGCAACAGCCATGGGGTCCAGCCACCATGGAGTACTATCCGACGAACTCTGGAGATCCCAGTGGGTTAATTCCACCACACAAATATAGCCCTACTGAGTTAGACACTCATCCACCAATGATGGGGGCTGGTAGTGGTGTGTGGCTTGGTGGTCCGGGTCACCTCGTGGACCGAGCGTTAGGGCCAGACGAGCCAGCTATGGGGGCTATAGGTGGTCTGAAGTGTCTGACGGCCGGGTCTCACGAAGGTAACTGATCCTACTGGACCTCGGACATGTCCCCAGACATAGTGGATACAACATCCACCCTACAGACACGGCCTAGGCTGCGTTAGGGACCTGTATGGATGAAGGGACGGGCACTTACTAACTGGTGACAACAACAACACGTTTCAGGGGACGTTAAAGACGTAAATATGACTTTACTCAGAGCATATCAACTACGTTACTGTAACACTTGCACAATCAACTATTAATTGGGTCAAATCACTTAAAGAAGGGCAAATTACAACACAGCGTGGAATGGCATACCTGTATGGATGAAGGGACGGGCACTTACTAACGGTTAAAATGCCCGCGGCGCCCTCACTCAAACTAGGCCAGGGAGTCCAGCTACTCCTATTCCAATGAATTAATTTACGGTACCCTCTGACGTTGAAATTGAGACTATGAACTCATTTTCATTCTCTACTATTATCTTCACTAACAATGCTCTGACTCAGCTATCGAAAGCAGAATTAAATTGATTACAAAGGAATGGATGGCAACAGGTCCCAGCATACAGCGTCTGCTCCCATAGACAAAGGCGGGGGAAACAGAGAAAACGGGGGACGTTTCCACTGGGGGACTCGGAAGGTTTTGTGGACGTTTGAGCGTAATATGAATCCTTAAGGTTTTCAGGTTAGCTCTTATCATGACCATTACAGTACCACCATAATACAGCATTACACTTGTACCTCAATAATACATGAACTGACAGTAGACATAAGTAGGTTACATTAGGTGTAAAATCCTATTTTTTTAAAGTCTTGGAAACCACACGTTGAACACGATGTGGAGATGTAAAGAAACGTTGAAGATCTGGCAATTTGATGTAAATTTCATTAATTAAAAATAACCACGAGTTAGTTTATCTTCATTCATACGCCTAATATGTACTCATCTTGCTTTTTACAGTCGCTCATTACCATATTCAATCAGGGGCGGATCCAGGAATATCAAAAGGGGGGTCCAAAAAGTTGTGAGTGGTGGAACATGGCGAGCACACTGAACCCATCCAGCTGGGGGGTTTTGAGGGGATACTGTAGTAGTGGATTTCTCCCCTACAAACGCTGTTTGGCGCGGAGTAGCCGACCCCGTGAATTCCCCAGTGTATGCCTCGTGGTCTGGGTCAACCAGCGCCGCTATACATCGCGGAGGTCAACTGCTAAGCCACGCCTACCCCCCGCTATTTAAGACCTGACCTCGTGGTGATCTCTCTCTTTCTACCTACACCAACCAGCCAGCAACACCTCCTCCTCCTCCGCCTGCCTGGCGGTCCTCGCTCCCGCTGGAGAGCATGGCGACCCACAAGCTGGTCCTCCTCTGAGCATCCTCACCAACCAGCTCTCTCTTCTAGCTACAGCCGCAGCAAGCTACACCTCCTCCTCCGCCGCTACCTGGCGGTCCTCGCTCCCGCCGGCGAGCATGGCGACCCACAAGCTGTCCTCCTCTGAGCGTCCTCACCAACCAGCTCTCTCTACATCACGCTTGTAACCACGCTGCCACTTCCCAGCACCAAGCTGCATTGTACATCCAATACAACATGTATACAGAGAGCACATTGTGAGTTTCCTTTCTCCATCCCATCCTGAGTGTGAACTCAAACATCCCATACTCCACACTCAAAGCCTCCGCCCCCCCCACCCAGATTTTTTTTTTATCTAACCAATATCTTGGGCATTTTGAGGCCATGTGCACTTCTTATTAGGAGATATTCTGAGGTCAATAGTACTTACTTTTTATTAAACAAAAACGCCTGAGTACAAGATTACATTAAAGAAAATGCCCTGGAATTTTCTAAGGAAAAGAGGGCCTCTTTAATTTTATTTATAGCGACCATCCCTAGCTTATTCTCGTTCACTGGAATTCCCCAGTTGTTTTGATTACATAAGCCTTTTCTTAATCTACTTTTCACTCAGCATTGTACTTTGAACGTATAGACTAGAGCTTTGTACTCGCCACACCTATTGTATTGTACTACTTTCTATGCTGGCTTCTAACAAACACAAATTTCTTCTTTTATAGTTTTCCCTTAGTCTTGGATATATCATATCTGTAACGGTCTTTCAAAGCTTTTGTTAAATGCACATATATCATACAGTGATGACTGATGAGTATGTGCCCGCCGCGTGTAGCCAGGGGTGATGTAACATATTAATCTTTACTAAGAAAAGATACCCTTCATTCACAAAATTGTTTTCTTTGGTTATTGGGCAGACATGCTTGCATGATTGTAATTTTTTTGTTATAAATATACAATATATTTTATCACAATAACAAATACGGAAATAGGAGCCCTATTCTCAGATAATTGGACATAATATAAAGGTTACGTAATTGGGCCATAGTAGCCTTGAAGTTTATCCGCGGCAGCGTTTCATACTTAATTTATCTTTCAGGAAACAGCAAATTCTTTTAAAATTTAGTAAATAAAGAAAATTTTGCAATAAAACTACAATATTTGTCCATATTTGTTATCAATAAAATTACTTAATATGCCCAATATTCACATTTCCTCAGTTTATCAATATTGTACGGGTTAGATGTGTAAACCTTAAGATTTCATTACCTATTTGAAGCAAACAGACCTTGCAGATATTCAATCATATCCATTGCCAAACTTTCATAAAAATCACGGAAAATTATTTCTTTACAAATTTTTATCATAATTTCAAGCAAAAATCAGAAAGACAATAAACAAGATTAATTTTGGGCAGAATCTCATCACTGGAACCCTAGGAGCCACCACTCCACCACAGGCCAGAGACATGATGTACCGGTGCACCTCTCTCGCCTCTCGATACTCACAACCTACCTCAAGGGTTGTAGAGCATGTCAGAACTCGGGGCATTAATAGATGTGAGTAGTCCATTTGCTTACTAAAGTTGACATTATAATTTAGTTCATATATTATACTTGATCCATTTAGAAAGTACAGTTCAGAGGACAGCCGGCGTGGGGGGAGAGTGGTGTCAGCTGATGGTCGTGAACCTCGTTAATGAATATATAATTCGATATAACACGTGATGCTATCCCTGGTTTTTATAATGTCATGGTTACTTTTCTCATATTCCAATAGTTGTACGCGATTTGAAATAGTATTGTAGTACTAAAAGTAAATGTGTGTATATGCTTGTGTGTAGCGTTACTAAAAATCAAATCGATTAGTAAACAATTATTTATATTTTCATACAGAACTGGTATTCTTAAAGGTAATGTGTTAGTTATTATTTTAGAGAAACTGAAGTACCTGGAGAAAATCTGGTTGGTTATGTAATGGGAACTGAGCCGAAGTTGTGGGGAGGCATTTGTGGTTTGTGTAGTACCTACAGTTTTTGTGGTAAATTTTTACTGTAGGACATGAGTCCCTAGGGATTGACCATTATTTTTCTCCAGTGTATTTTGGTGTGTTTTAAACGAATCTGACATTCATTTTTTGCCCCCCACCCCAACAATAATGGGGGAGAGCCTGGGAAATCAGGGTTTTTGGGTGGGGGAGAAAACGAGTCATCTGACCTAACAAAACCAAACCGGGGGCTCTGCCCCTGGACCCCCGGTAGGCCTAACCTGACCCTTAGCCAGGGGCTATGCCCCCGGATCCCCGGTAGGCTTAGCTTACTAACCTAAATGTTTCAGTAGTTAAAAACTGGGGCGCGCCATATCCGAAAGTACAATACCTTAGTCAGAAGTGGAAGGACCAGGGATACGTAAGAATGATTCTTTCTCATAAAACTTGGCAATAAATTTAAAATAATCGTAGGAGCACAAATGACAACCAATCTCCACCACGGCCATTGTGAAACTGTTCAATGAAATTAAAATCATACCCAGGCTGCTTCCTTTGAAAAAAATCAAATGTGATTGGTCGAAAAAACATTTGCGTGATATCGATACATCATTGGTCACGACTCGATGACGTTAGTCAACATTGCGCATGCGTTAAGTGCAGATAACATCTCACAGATGAAGACTGAAAACTACTTAAAATCAATTAAATTCAATTGTGTCGCTATTATCCATTTCCTCTATGTATATATGGGGTTCAAAATGCTCAGAATAGCGAGATCTAGGTGTTTCCGTAGTTTATAACTTTCAGGGGCACTGTCTGAAAGTAATACCTTTTTTGTTAACACCTTTATGATAAGATTATTTGTAAGTTGGCTAAAACATGGGTAATCCTGGAGCAAATGGCTAACACCGGAAGGCATTGTTCGATTTTCTTCTTTTTTTCCCACAGATGTTCTTTGGATGTTTATAAGTACCGTAATAAAAATGATAAAACAATGCACAGAACCTAATAGAATGCAACGAAAGAAACCTACCTTACCTTACCGAACTTCCTAGCTGGGGGCAGATCCCATTTCGTAATAAACAAAGTATTATTTTTATACGATACTAAGAAAGAACATAAGAATGGAGGAAACTGCAGCGGGCCTATTGGCCCATACTGGGCAGTCCCATTTACACAACCCCTGTTGCTCATATATCCATCCAACCTATGTTTGAAGCTATCCCTCGTATTCGAGTTAATGATGATATTTGGTAGCTTGTTCCAGTCATCCACTACTCTATTTCCAAATCAGTGTTTACCTATTTCGCTCCTAAATCTAAATTTGTCTAATTTAAAACCATTGCTACGAGTTCACTCCTGGTTGGATAGTTTGAGTTCCTTTGTAATGTCCCCTTTGTTCAGTCCTGACTTCCGTTTATACACCTCTATCATATCGCCCCTCACTCTACGTCTCTCGAGGGAGATCAGATTAAGATGCTTTAACCCGTCTCTGTACTCAAGGTTCCTAATGCCTGGGATTAATCTTATTCTCCTCTGAATTCCTTGTAGCCTGGCTACAGCAGAATCGACACTGGTTGATGTTATATATGAAGTCATCTATTTACTTTTACCGATTTTATTCTATACAGTATGTACTTGAAAGTGTATTTATATTTATATTGCATGTAATAAAGCTTCCTTTGATGTTTACTGTAATATCAAGTGCAGTCAGTTGTTCATTTTAACCTGTTTTACTGTGCAGTTTCTGTAATTGTAAATGTACAAGACTGGTATTTACAGTACAGTGTACCGTATTTGGTTCATTCATTGATTGAAGGTCCTCCGTACAAATAGGCATTTGCAACCAATCAGAATGAATGCCAGACAGATTGTGGAGGTAAACAAAGGCCCATGATAGGCCAGTTAACCACTTTTTATAAATAATACTATACATACAGTATAGGATATAGTAGTAGTCACTGGAAGCATATGTGTGTATGGAACAGCCTCTGGGAACTAATTATTTGCAAACAACAGATCAAGTACCAAAAATGGTATCGGGGGAGAGTACCATTAGCAATTTGAAGAACATATTTTTAGGAAAAATACAATAGAAAAACAAAAACTAATTCCTGAGAGATTGGAGCGCCTGAACTTGCCTAGCTTATAAATACAGACGGGTAAGGGGCGACGTAATTGAGTTGTATAAGCATCGCAAGGGGCACTACTCAGTTGAGTGTCCTTACTTGGAGCTGGCAGACACTCGCCCCACAAGGGGTCACAGCTCAAGGCTGAAGAAGCCGCAGGTTCAGAAAACTGTGAGGGCAAACGTTTTTGGAGTGAGAGTTCTGAACTCTTGTGAATTCAGGAACCGGTGCATGCCCAGTACTTCCCAACAGTGCGTAATTGAGACCGATCGCCCAAGTGACTAACGAGCCAGTCAGTGTTGAAGAGGATAAAATAAAAATAAAAAGGGAATTGCTTTGGAAGACTTTGTTGGTAAACTAGCAATTTCAGAATACTTTAGATCACCTGAAGATTGGGCATCCCAGGTTATTTCATGTAATAATTAAAATACCTTATTCGTTTCTCGGCCAACTTCTGCAAAACTTCACCATTACAGTACTATTAATACCCAGTTGCCCTCTAGATCTGAACAGGAACATTGCACACCATCCTCACTATTTTGATTTCAGCTTGCTGAACCCTATATTTTTGCACAGTACAGTACTTAATTTAAAATGTTAATCCTTCCCAAGTAAGACAGACAAAGGAAGGACAGTTGAATTTGTATGATTTTCATGTAGCTAAGTGGAAGTGCAATTTATTGTACTGTATATAATACTGTACTGTATATGACTGCCCGTGGAAGAACTCGGCATCAGCCAAAATACAAAGAAGCCAGAAAAGACAGTTAATACTAGGCAACTTACTGCCTCATTTACACACAATTGCAGGGTCTCAATTGTTTCTCATACTATTGACAACACAACATACATACTGTACTGTATATTGTTTCTCACTTTTGATCTGTTTTTTTTTTTTTTTTCATTTTGTATTATTATTATTACAGTGTTGTTATTATTATTACTGTATTAATATCATTATTATTTTAATTTCATTTTTTTTATTTCTGATTATAAAATTTATTTACTATGAATTATTAATGTTACAGTATTACATTTTCGCCCCCCAGACCCCGCTGTGGGTCAGTGAACTATGCCCAGGTGGGCTAATCCCCGTAAAAAAAATATGTACAGTATATAACTTTTGAACCATAAATGATGTCATTGTCATTTTTCACACATTCAGCATTCAACCATCCATAACAATGATGTGAATGAAAATAATGAACATCTTTAATATTTTAATGATTAAAAATTTTCATAGAGGGGTACATCAGAAAATAAGTTGTGTACCTGTAATATTATGTTTTCACGTAATAAACACAAAAACAGTAGTAATGTGTGATTCAAGAGATAGTTTTAACTGCTTTCTGGCATTGATTCAGTCAATCAAGGTTTCCTGTGACATTATTATGCATGGGGAATTATCATAAATGCATTGTTATTATTAATAATAAAACTTTGCAATTAATAAACATTAGGTTTTGGTTACTCACCAATTAGCAGAGCTTCTGGACTTTACCCATGTGTCTAAATAAATGTGATTTTCAACCTATTATGGCATAACTCGGTACAGAATCTCCACACTTTCCCGGATAGAGGACATTCTGAGGAATACTGTACAGTGATATAAATATCTCGTTTTCGGTTCCACTGGTGCTTACCGAGTTATACCAGGGGACACCTCATGTAGAGTAAATGGACACCTGATTATTTATATACCGTACTGTACATTTCTAGGAAACCACACATTTAAATATCCCTTGTTCAGTTTTTCTCAGGCCTAGGGTACCGAATGAAAGAATATATATTTAATATTTTTACTAAAAAGTTTAATAATTTTTTTTATCCTGTCCTTTTCAGTACGCTCCAAAAGAGAGTATACAAACCTTCCCAGAAAACCTTCAACGATGAATGACTTGCCAACACCACAAGGTTCTTGGGCTCAGAGAAATGAGCGTGTTCAGAGAAAATACAACTTGCAGCTTGGAGCAGGCATTACACTTTTTGGCTTTACTCTGTTTGTGGTAAGTATTAAAAAATTGTGTTATGACCGTATTATATAAATACAGTTTTGATTTTTTAACGCCTGAATACAATACAGTATATATGGATTAGTGAGAAATATGTTCGGGGAGTTATTTAATATTTTCATGTGAATACGTACTGTAGTGGGGTTAGGTAGGTAGGTGGAAAAGCAAATACTGTACACATGTTTCCTATTGACAGATTTCATAAGGGTTTGGTAAAGGTTAAAATGAGGATCGTGATTCCTCCAGGTCATTCAGTAGCTCAAGATTTGACAATTTGGTTTAGGTACAGTCTAACTCTTCATTATTGTTTATTGTTATATTTTCATGGGATCTTCCTTAATATTTGCTTTGAATTGTAATCGATAGAATACAAATGTGATGGAGAAGGAAAAGTAGGTATGACGCTGAAAACTGGAACCAATATGTTAATAATCTTTGGATTTTAAGGTTAAGTTTGGAAAGGTTACGATATGTTTTGTTTGGGTCTTGTCTGCTTCATGGTGATTTACATGCTAATTTTTTCTTTGCTCTCCGTGAGATTTATTTTCATTGCCTTGATAGTATAATTATATTTGTAAGATCCTGTTAAAATATAATGTAATAACCATGGAACTAAAATAAAACCTTTACTGTACCATTAAAATTGCTTATGTATCCAAGTTAAAAAGTCATTGCTTTAACACCTCTGCAGTTAGATGAAATAATGTTGTCCCTCAACAGAATTCACAAATAAAGTAGCTATACAGTATAGTGTTGATTTTGTTATTGTTATGCCATAAGGAATTAAGAATCTGGTACTATGAGCCCTTGCTATATTTCAGCCAAGAGTGTCATGATTCACCAATTTCATTCAAACTAATGAGGGAATGTATTTTTTCATTGTGGTGAAATGGTAGAATTATTGTACAGTAGTTTGAGGGAGGCCACCATGGGGCCTCTCACCAAGTACAGTATTTTCTCGATTTAACAAACTAATTTAAGCCACCCCTTTCCGTTAAATCAAAATTTCTGCTAAATCGAATTTCCATTAATTTTGCTTGGTTTCGCGAACTATTTCACTAAATCAAGCGTGATTCCATTAAATTCCACACCAATTGCGCCGCTTGGTGCGTGGGGTTTGTTTACACCTGCTCAATCTGTGTCCTGCTGCCAAAGCATGTGTTGTTCACTGCTACCTCTTGATCAACTAACTACTGTGCTTAGCCATCATGCCGGAAGTCTCTCTCAAGTCTCAAAGGAAGTGGTGTGGGGGAGAAAGTCAAAAGAGTGCGGCTATCAATTGGAAAAAAAGTTTGGAAATACGGGGCACTAAGAAAAATTTAAAACAAACACTGAACTCCCAAGTTTAAGGTAAATCATGAATATTGTTTCTAATGGTTCTCTGTACATATGATGTGTCTGTAGGTGTGAGCGTATTAACAGAATTAATCTTGATTTAGCGAACTACTGTAGTTCACTAAATCGAGCGAAAAATTCCATCCACTAAATCAAGAGGTTGTTATATTGGGGTCTTAAATTGAGGGTATACTGTACTGTGCAGTAATGGAGGTTTAAGCAGTTCTATAACTACTTATGGAAATTTTGGGCTATCGACCAACTTAGATTTGGTTTAATTTAATTTTGAATTGTAATTTACTGTGCAGGATTTATGATAGTGATGTATGTACAGTATTGTGTACATACAGTATACAGGCATCCCCCGCGTTACGGAAGGGTTCCGTTCCCGGAAAATTGACCGTATCTCGAAATTCCGTAACGCGAAACCTATTTTCCCATTGACTTCCCTTATAAAACTGGAGATGCGTTCCTAAGGAATTTTTTCGGCCCCAAAAATGTAATTCAAGCACTTTTATTAATGAAAATAAACATTTATAAACACATACAATACAGTACATTAAATATTTTATGATATACCTTCTTAAAACACCAATTTAGGGGTTAATATTGTATTATACAGCTATGTGTACGTTTATTTGAGTGCCCCGTCATAGGAGTCCGTTTTCTCTCACTTCAGCACTCCTGAGTCGTCCGTTTTCTCTTAATCTTAAAAGTGCACCAGGGACTATTATTTTTTAGTGGTGACACAGAATTTGATATTGCAGCTGGGGTTGCAATTGTTGAGGCAACTTAGGTATGTCTGATTACAGTTGGAATATTCAAGATCCATTGTGAGTGATGTTTAAAGCTTCAACTGTCTTTATGATTGGTAAAACTTGTCAAATCTGTCAGTCTGAATGGCATGTGTGAGGCCTTGTGTTTGTTAAAATTTACCCCAATTTCCGTAAGGGCAGATTTACGGGCCGTAACGCGAAATTATTGGTCATAATTTACAAATTCCGTAAGAGCGAAATTCCGTAACGCGGGGATGCCTATACTGTAAAATGTAATTATCATTGTATCTAGATAAATAAACATACAAACAGTATATATTACCTCTATACTGAAACAATGGTGAACAGCCAGTTCAGTTTAGGAGAATTTGCTTATTATACAGTTGTCCCTCGGTTAACGAACACAATTCGTTCCAGGCCATTCGTTAACCAAAAATTTCGTTAACCGAAACCATTGTTTTAATGGGATTTTGGGTAGTTGGTTCCAGCTCACCGAAATTTACAGACAAAGTAAAAATAAATGCAGTAAATTACACTTACTTTGAGGTGTGTATGTAGAAGACTCCTGGTTGATGCTGATGGGAATTAGAAGTGGGGGTGGAGGAGAAGGGAGGAGAGAAGGAAGTGGGGGTGGAAGAGAAATCGCCCAATGCTTCATACTGTCATTTCACCCATAAAATTTTAAGTTCACTAGGTGTAATTCAAGAATATTTTCTTTAAATCAACACTGCACTATATATTGTCAATATGTAAAATAAATTTCAGAATGACCAATAATTGTACTGTAAAAATGTAAAAATAGTTTATATTCATGAGAGCCACAAGCAAGATGTTACCTCCACTGACCAGGGATACAAACTGACGCCTTACTGGGTGAGTCAAGTGGCTGATTGGTGCACCAAAAATTAGTTTCCTGTATTGCAATTATGTTAAATAAGTGTTAAAATTACTAAAAAAAATTAATATAAAACTTGAAAATTATTGAATAGTACAACCTTCTTGATATTTACTCGAATGGGACCGAATTTAAGCCCTAGAACCGATTACTGTATTGGCGGACTAATATTCCAGCTGGTGAGCAAGCGAAAACATGTTGACGTGATTTCGTAAAAATTTTGTTAACCGAATTGAAGATTCTTATGGAAGGTAATTCGTTAACCGAGGGATCACTGTACATATATATATATGCAAGTAAATCACTGTAGGTGCATGATCTAGGTATATGATAACCGTGTTTTCTTCTTTCCTTGTATATCATACATATATATACACATACATAGATACATACATACATACATACATACATACACATACACACACACACATACATACATACATACATACACATACACACACACACACACACATACATACATACACACACACACAGGTTGCCAACCCTTTATCCGAAATTCCGAAAACCGATAACGCAACAAAGACATACACTGCGCAACCTACTCGCGCCGCTTACCCAACATGGCGGGAGGTTTGATTCTAAAAATGGCGCAGCGCGAGAGGACCGCCAGCCGCTCTCCGCGTAAAAGGGTACACGCACCGCGTAAAATGAGCATTCCGTGTTCGGCAGGGTACCGCGTAAAGTGAAACCCGTAAAGCGGGGTTTTACTGAACTGATTATTTGCTTAAGATGTAGTCAAGGATAAGTGTGGGTGAGCAGGGATGGGCTATTGCCACAATAATATGTCGCGCGGGAAAATTAAAAAATGGAGTGCTAGATTGGGATTTGGTTTCCCAGTGACACGAAAACCCAAATATTTTACCCCCAAAACCTGAAATAAGTTAACAAACAACAACAAAAAGCTACCTATTTAATGAAAAAGAGAACCCATCTACTGTAATTTACTACCTAATGTATTAAAAACATTAATAAAATACTAAATATATGAAAATGTGCAGCTAAAACCGTTAAGGAAACGCCATAGCTCGCCATAGCAATTCAGCCCAGCTGGGATGCTTCTCTGCTCCCCCCTCCAGCTCCCTCTCTGAGCGTGCTAACTCTAACCACACAAATGTTTTTGTCTGACCTTATAATAGTTATTTCTTTTACTTTTTTTGCACATTCTGTATGTAGGATTGTGTATGCATGTAGCTGAGTAAAAAAAAAAAACAAGAAAATTTGGTGTATCTGCCCAAAATTGCAACTTGAATAATAATCATAACATAGTTTACTACTCAGCCTGGTAGCAAGAGGGGTGTGACACCAGTGACGATTCTAACTTGGCAACAATGCCACCAGTGATGTTAACTCACACTTAAATCAGCACACCACCACCCTCGGCTGTGAATTCAAACAAACGAATTGAATGGCAGGAGGGATTACAGTACCTTAAGGGAGGGCAGTCAGGTGTCACCACAAGGGGTGGGGAATGGCGGAATGAAAGACATGGGCTGGGAAGATGTGTTGGGGAGGGAGGGCCCCAGCTTACGCCCGGGGGTGCGTAATTTAAATTTTTGCTGGGACTCAAATTTGTTAAATGAAAATGTTAATTTAGGAAAGTCATAAGTGATTTTTCATGTCTCAAACGTTTGCTAAGCAAAGGATACCTGTATTGAAGTTTGGTATAGCAATACTGAATGTTGGAAGCACTGCTAAAGCATGTCAATTAAATTCTTTTAAATCCAGCTCTACACTTCAACAAAACTCGCCAGCAATTTATTGTATTTTTGAAGCTGTTTACCCTATTTAGATATGCCAAGAAAGTGACTGTTAGCAAGAGCAGTATAAGCACACAAAATTTTCATCTGTCTTAAAAACTGTGACTGCATAACAAAGAATCAAAATTACTGAGTTTGTAATGAGGAGGCTCCACCTTTGGGGTGGGGGCCAACCCCCTCAAATTCTACTTTCATAACACTTCCAGGGAGCATGAGTATCTCATTGCATAATTCAGCTCTCTATTGTAGAAACTGTAGCTGTCCATAGCAATTAACCACAGAAATAGGCAGACAAATACTGTGCTTTATATACTGTATTAGGTATGTACAACAATATTGAGATTACAGCACAGTATTTATTTCTTTATACAGGGCAAGCAGAGTGGGTTGATTTCATTCAACTTTGGCCCAGGTAAATTGAAGTTTGAACAAGCACCTCCTGCTGAAGCAGCTGAGGAGGAGGAGGAACCTGCACCAGCAGAGGAGGAGGCCCCTGCAGAAGCTATTGAGGAGGCACCTGCTACTTTCACAGAAGAAACACCTGCTGCTGCAGAAGAAGCACCTGCTGCTCCTGCTGAAGAAGCACCTGCTGCTCCTGCTGAAGAAGCACCTGCTGCTCCTTCTGAGGAAGCACCTGCTGCTCCTGCTGAAGAAGCACCTGCAGCTCCTGCAGAAGAAGCACCTGCCCCAGTTGAAGGTAGTGAGAGTTAACTTGTCATAGCTAAGCTCAATACTCAACCCATCTCAGATTACACATTCAGGTTCACCAGGATACTTATTTATGCTGGTTTGTTAGTACAGTACAAACATGCCTTAGTGAAAAGACTAATACAGTACAGTATACATATAGATCTTTTAGTATTAACAAAGGTATAAGACAGAAGTCAGCTGTAACTATAGTATGGTTAATGGCCTGCTACTGGCAAAGGATTCCCAGGTTAGCTGTTGTAGTATAATTTGGTGCTAGATTGTTAATTTATAACTTATATTATGTATATTATTAAATGCACAATAATTGTGCAACTTAATTTCTTTGTTTTATTTTTCATTCAGAGTTATGAATAGTAGAAGGCTATTACCTAACCTGTAGAGACAGGTGGCAAGACTTGTGTAGTAGCTTAAAGTGAATAGAGAAACAGGTAATTTAAATTGAACATACAGACCCCAACTCTGTGATTACACTAGAACTTTTTAATTCATTACCTCTACAGTATATTATTACTATAAAGGGACTCAGAATTTTAATATTAGAAATATTAAGCAAAAATCTGAATTTTGGCAGAATGCATTGGTGTTAAATTCCTTGAAGGTCCAGGTTGTCTTTTTTACAGCAAGGATATTTAAGCAAAACTTATACACCCCTTGGCCATTCTTAGAAATAAATAATCTGCATTTCTCTGTTCTTCTGATTGCTGTGTACATAATTTTGACATTGTGATGAAAGGTCATGTTACCCTGATTATTCACTTTCCTTCCTCCTCCTCCCCCATGCCTCTCATATTTGACATTTGGGGGAGGGGGCTGTCCGTGTCCCAGAAGCATCCTCTCCGTGGTTAAGCTTACACTTAGCTGTGTATGGACTTGATAGACTGTATCTCTCAAAGTAGCATGGAAATTTGTGTGGTTTGATTGTCATTATTCATAATGATTATGAAGCAAATTAGTTTAATATTTTAGTGAAATAGTAAAACATTAAAGTTTACTTACATTATTTAGGCAATATTGATTTCATTATAAATGCCGTGGTATACTCAATAAACCTTGACAATTTGATATTTATGTAAGTTTATTTATTTTTTATTTTTTCACAACTTGTAAGTTGTTAAATTTAGCTATTTTGATGTAAAAGGTATGAATTTCTTAAAGATTTAATGTAAAATTTATAAAGAAGCCTTTGATATAATACTGTACAACCCCCATATAAATTTTGGGTTGCATTCCATTACAAAATATTACACATCTTGTCACATATGCACACAAATACAAATATAGCTACAGGAGGTATTCCACTATTTTTAAACTTTCAAAATAAAATTTTACAGAGAATGGAATACAGTACAGCGGACAAATTAGGGAACTTTTTTCTACCTACTGTTCCCTGTCCATAAGCGATTTTCAAATTAATGAAATTCCATGCAGCTACAAAGCATACAGTACAGCTGCACTGGAGATTATGGAAGTGTAGACCTACACACTAATATTTTTCCCTCCAGCACATATTAAAAGACTATTAACATATTTTATAAATTACAACCATTTAATAGAAACCCACCAGATACCTTGTTGGCTGGTATTCATGACACACTATGGTGTTTGAAGTAAATATCTTTTAAAAAAGTAAATATTCAACAATTTAATATTTACTTTATTCTATTTATGATGGATAGTTTGGTGACTTTTTGTAATGTGGTATTTTCCATGATTCATTGATAGTGATATCTCAAGTAAGCCTGAACAATTGCTGCAGAGCACTTCCGGTAATGAGAGATTTCCGGGTCACGAGACGACTCTCTCGAGGCCAGGAAAAATCCCTCTTCCCCAGAATTTTCCGGGTACCGGGAAAAGTTCCTCAGAATTTTCTGGAAAATTTGCCTCTTGGAAAATCGTCCCCAAAGCTGGAAAATTCCGGCTTTGGGAACAATTTTCCGAGAAATTTTCAATTTCGGCTATCGGAGAGTTCCGGGTTTTAGCGGTTCCGGCCAACGGAGTTATTACTGTACTGTATATGGAAATTTGAATTTATGAAGGAATTTTGATGCGAAAAATTAAATAACAAAATACTATACAGCTTACTTAGTTTCTCGTGATATGGCTTTTTTCACGCATTTAGTAACCAACAAACGTGTATAAATGCATCATAGTAGGAAGGTGAAGGAAGATATTTTAGTGAGGAAGATGTGTGCAGAAGGTAGAAAGAATGTTATAGTGATGCAAAGTGAAGATATAAGCAAAGTTATCATCGGCAGAATAAGAAGTTAGAAAAGAAAATACAGTACATGTATTAAAAATTTTGCCAAGGATGTTAGAGTATTATGTCAAAGAAATATTGGAAGTGCTATGCAAACTTACTAATGGAATGTGAATGAGTATAACATTGTTCTATTCCTGTCCATCCCTCTCCCGTCTTCTGTTCTGTCACCTTCTGGTATCTATTTTTGGTGCTGCTTATTTTTAATGAATAGTTAGTTGTGTGCTGCTGACTTTGTTCAATAGCTGTATACTTGTAAAGATTGATTTTGTGTGTGTTGGCATTAAGGCAGTGAACTGTGGGGTAACACTCATTCGTGACTCATGATGGTAATAAATGCTCTGTATCGTGGTGTGGTGATGACTACAGTATTTATCTTGTCAGGGCCGTATACTGTTTCTCTGAGACCACTTGTGTATATTTTATGGACTCGTTTTTGATGAAATGTCTTGTGCTGCTTGGAGGAAAAATAGTTAACTACCTCATTAAGTCGGCAGGGATTTTTTGTATGAATAGATTACAGATACAGTTTAGCTATTTACTCGTTCTGTTATGGTACACTCGATAAAAAAAACTATCATTCAGGAGGGGTCCAATGAATTTCGAACTGAACAATCTACATGCAGGTCTACCAATGCGAGGTATGCCTCATGGGCCTTTATCAAAATCTTTCGTTCGCGGTGTTATTTTGTTTTGTACTAGAATTTTAAAGATAGTTTTTTTTACTGAGTGTACATCCAGTTAAAACTCATTCTCAGGTGAAATTGCTCCATAGATTGTCAATGTTATTTATATCACAGACTGTCTACAGGGCTACTTTTATGGTGATCATTGTCATAACTAAATTGTTGAAAGTTCTGGTGATTCTTGTTCTATATACTTTTCATACCGGTAACATTGTTTTAGAAATTATTGTATTTTACCAATTGGATATTTAAAAAAAAAAAAAATTTTCTTTTAGTCCTTTTGAATAGCTAAATATCATAGGCTGAAAAAAAAGTAATTCAGCTACGATACATCTCTCAGAACTTTGTCTGAGGTGCAGGGAGAGGCAGGTCCTTGGGTGAGGCATGACTGGGATGAAGGAGATATTTTGTACAGTTCATCACTCATGTCACTGATATTGCTGAACTAATAATGGTATTATTTTGTGTTCAGTGAAGAAAGCACTTGTCCCTGAGCATTATCATCAGTACTGTATGGTATTGGTAGAGTGCTAGGGGATTTTTTACTGGTACTGTATGTGATTCTCTTGAGAGATTATCTGCAAAATATAGCTTTCAAATCCAGTCATGAATTATACTGTGAAAAGGGAACTTATGTAAATGGATTTACTGGTGAAAAGATTTAAAGAATGTACAGTATAAAATTTGTACAGAATGCTGTATTAAAAAGCTTTCTGCTGAGAGTAAGTCGACAAAATCCTAGCTCTATGAAATAATTTTACATAAAATTGCAGTCTGTATATGTATGATATGTGTGTGTATTTCAAGGCTTGCTTCACTGTTACAAATTTTGGCTGATATTTTTATTTTTTCATGACCAGGTAGCTCTGTTCATAGTCATTTTTATATTTTTCTTGATAGTTCAGTGCTTCATTGCCTAGCACATTTGTAGCTGCTGGATAGTCTTATCCTAACTGAAGTTTATTAATTAGTCTAATCACTGATGCACATTTTGTATAGATGTTGTAAATTATTCAAACCAAATGCGAGTTTGCTTTGATCCTTGTAACCTGATAACTGGTGTATACTAAATTCCACAGTACCTGTAGAGCCTGAACAAGTTACAGAAGCTGCTCCTGCTGAACCTGAACCCTCAGTCAGTGTAACAGAAAGTGTAGAAGCAGTCAGCAGTGAGCCTGCTCCAGAAAAAGCAGAGTCACCTGCCCCTGTTACCACATTAGCTGAAGAGACTTCTGGTGAGTCAGTTGCTGCTGAGTTAATTTCTGGTAAATCTACAATGGTAGATGTGGCCGATGATCTTGCGGCTGTTGATTCTGTAACTACAGAACCTACAGCTGTTGAACCTGTGGCTACAGAGCCTGCAGTTGTAGAACCTGTGGCTACAGAGCTTACAGCTATTAAAACTGTGATTACAGAGGACACAGCTTCAGAGCCTGTGGCCGATGGGGCACTAGGATCTTCATGAACATTTTAAAAGTAATAAAATGCAAAATTTAAGACATTGATGAGGCTATTACATCAGTATATTTATCATCTTGATATTTGTAAATATAGGTAAACAAAGTACTGTATGAGCACATTCTACAAATTTACCATTCACTGATACTTCCTTGGTGAAAATTCATCTCCAACTTTATCATTAATGATGAAGAAAAATCCACCACATCAATTTGGGCTATGACACATTATGAAGTGGTTTCTTCAGCTAGTATGTCCAGTAATTGCTAAAGGTTTTTACAGGTTGCTCTTCTGAGTCATAGGTTTACGTTCTTTGACAAGATTGTGATTTGAGAACACATTGTTACATGGGGGAGCAGGGATATGTTCCTGCACCATTATACTGTAACATGGTGCAGGAGGGATATGTTCCTACACCATTGTACTGCAACATGGTACAGAAGGGATATGTTCCTACACCATAATTAGAATCAATTTTATGCCATCTCTTACCAAAAATCACTGCCACCAAGAAACTGAAACATTTGAAAACAGAAAGGAGGATACAGTATAGTAATGCAATTGGGGAGGGAGACCAGTTTTCATTTGTTACTTTGACTAAGAATGGATTTCCAAACAATAAGATTTCGGTAGTGAATAAAGAGAAGCTACTCGCATCAATTCACTTATTATCTCACTTTTTATCTAAGCTCTTTCTTGTTCATTTTTTTTTGTTAACCTGTACGTACTTGATTCATTTTTTAATGCTTTGTTACGATGAAGTCTTGTTGCTTTACTATTGTTTATATAGAACTGATAAAATGCTATAGTGGATGTCATATTATAAATGTTGCCAATCATGGTGTGTAAATCATTAGTATATATATATATATATATATATATATATATATATATATATATATATATATATATATATATATATATATATATATATATATATATATATATATATATATATATATATATATATATATATATATATATATATATATATATATATATATATATATATATATATATATATATATATATATATATATATATCTATATGTGTGTGTGTGTACTTTATATACATGTATAGCACAAACCAAACTCATGTGTACAGTCTGTTGTTTCAGGGTTTTCTTTTCAAGTTGATATATATTCTTGATGAAATTGTATATTTCTCCTGACATCAAAAGATTCGGGATACACAATGCCATATACGTATTGCACAATCTCAGGTATATATGTACAATCCAAGTCTTCCATAGTACTAGATCAGATATTATTTGTCCCATACTGCTAGGTACTGGTTGTTAATACATTAAATAGAAGCCAATGATAGATGTGTGACCTGTAAGACATGCTAAGAGTTTGTCAAGGAACAGAAATGTATGACAGCACTAATATTTGCTCAAGTGCATAGTATCATCACTTAAAAAAAATTTAATAAATGTGTATATATTTTTATCTTCATTTCATTGTAACCTTCCATTTTCAGCAAGTGAATGTACTGTACAGGTTTAGTAATTTATTTGTAATTAATTATATATTTATGTTTATTCTTTCTTATATGTTGTAGGGTAATTTTTTATAATTAAATTTTAACAGCAAGTAAAACAAAGATTTCTATTGAAGAATTCTGGGTAATAGTGGCACCATGGTGTTTACAGTTTAGTTAAGTAGATATAACTTGAGTGTATTGATAAAATTTGTTGATAAAACTTTTGCCAGCTGGTCTGACATTATACACCATCATCATCTCACCTCTGCATACAATAATACTATAGTGTATTGAATGTGAATTAGTGCAGCTGTGACTAAGTGATGGGAGATGATGCCCTTTACCACTACTCGGCCATCCAGGTGTGGACCATTGGCTTCCATATAATTCCACTTCCTGGTCCAAAATTACAGTTTGTCGTCTAGCCTCATGATACAGTAACAGCTGTAGTTACTGTACATGATTTGTTGTAGATTGGACTTTAATTAATTGACGGGAGGTGATGTCCCATGCCATACGACCACCAAGCAGCCAGCCTATATACAGGATGTGCCTTACATCTCAATCTTGTCTGAGAAACAGCATTTTTTGTCAAAGACCTTCAGGAAAAAAGCCTACATTCAATTATACTGTTCATATAAATTGCTTTTATAAGGATCACAAATAAATTAGGGTTTACTGTTCTAGTATCACTAAAGTGCTGTTGTATTACTTAAACTATATAAACAGATGAAGATATGGACATATGCATGGAGACTTCATCTATAATACCCCTATGAGTCTTGGGTAGTAATAAAATCCTGAATTTACTTACCACAGTACTGTACCATTTTACCATAATTGCTGGTTTTACAGAATGAAAGTGATTGGTGAATTTTGAATTTGGTGCTGTGTAGTTTCAAAATTAGCTGGTACAGTACAAATGAAATTTAATAATTTTTATTATTTTAAGATAAATACAATACAGTATTAGGATATATCTACAGTAAACATAATATTTCTTAGGTATTCTTTAACACTTTAGATTTTGGCAACATTTAGTTTGATCTCCTGTCATAGCTCTGTAGATAAGAACAATTATTCAATTTTGGCAATGGCATTCTTACACAACTAAAACCACCATTTTTATTATCATGCAGTTGTAGCTGGTTTAGTAATGTTTATAATTTTAAGACAATTTTATACTAAACATGATTTTCTTGTATGTGTGAACACAAGTCTGCAGCAGCCAGGTCAGGTGTTTGTACAGTGAATTTGTATTGTCTATATGTATACTGTACTGTTCTTTCACTTACTCTCTTCCTTATTTTTATCAATGAGTTACTTCACACTATGACTAATTCTATCCATTCTTATGCTGATGATTCTACTTCTCACTCGTCTTCACATTTTTCCCTACCCCCTAATTCTCAAACTAGAGCTGATATCATTTCATCTATCAGTGCGGATCTGTGCAGCATCTCCGAATGGAGAGGTAAGAACTTGGTTGAATTCAACAGTAATAAAACACAAAATTTACCAATTACACTTTCCAATTTAGATGATCTCCCACCAATCACATTTCAGGATGCAATCACTCTGCCAAATTCTAAAATAGATATGCTAAGCCTCACCATTTCCTCTAATATATCATGGAAGCCACACATCCACAACATTGCTAAATCTGCCTCCCGAAAGCTGGGAATGCTGTACAGATGCCGTCGCTACTTCACTCTTGAGAAGTTGCTCTCATATCTGGGGTGTCTCTTCTTCTGTCCAACTGTTAGATAGGGTAGAATCAAAAGCATTTCATCTTATTAACTCTCCTCCCTTAGTTAATAATCTCTCTCCCCTTTCTCTCCGTCGCAATGTTGCTTCACTCTCTCTCTACAAGTAGTTTAACGGGCAATGTTCGGTGGATTTGGCATGCTGTTTAGTGCCGGCAAGGCCGTGGGCTCGTAACTCTCGTCTTGCCCGCGGTGCCCACCATTTCTCTGTGGATGTCAGTCACACTAGAATAACCCGTTATAGTAAATCCTTTTTTCCTCACACAGCCAAACTGTGGATTGCTCTGCCTTCTGTGTTTCCATACTCATACAATCTGTCTCCCTTCAAAAAGCTGGTTTTGTGGCATAGATTAGCATAATTTTTTCCTTTGTTATTTTAAATTTATTTTTGCTCTTACTTTTTTGCCCCCTAGGCCCGGTTGTGGGTCGATGACCTGTGCCCGGGTGGGCTATTCCCCTTTAAAAGAATTTACAGCATTTGTTCATGAAGGAAAAACACAAGTCAGCATGTTTATTTTCCAAGTTTATCATATTCATATTTTTGTGTGTCACAGTAATTCTTAAGCTACACTACTCAATACAGTATGGTACTGTACTGGTTTTAAGCGCATACTATATATACCTGTGTGTGTATATATATAATATAACAATATATATATATATATATATATATATATATATATATATATATATATATATATATATATATATATATATATATATATATATATATATATATATATATATATATATATATATATTGTTATATTGTACTGTACTGTATAAATCTTTATAATCTGGAAGGAAACTTTATCATTGCAGCTATTGAGTGTAACTGTTTACTATCATGCCATATTTAGATGTTTTTAAGAATACCACGTCACAAAACACACTACAGTACTGTATTTCATTTGTTTTGTACAATGTTAATTAACTTGACAAACATCAACTGGTAGTCACCAGGTTATGCTGTTCATTGCAGACATATTTTTAGCATTATTAATACTGGATACAGTATTGGTTTTGTTTACATCATATTTGTCTTGAAATTATTTACTATATACACTATTGCATTTTTCTAAGTAAAGTATCTGATGAATATAATTAACAAAATAAAATAAGGTATTAAATAGTTCAAAGAAAATTATGTGTAGCCTATTTATTACTTTTATTAATTATTATATTCTATTGCTTGTAATTCGAGAATGCAACAATTACTAACGATTATATGCCCGGACATGTAAAGTTTCCACATACAGTTCTCTCGCAGTTGTTGCTAGACAGAGTTTCTCATTTCGTTGCTGTAGAATGTTTTTGTAACGTCTTATGTAAGGAGTGTTCCATACTATTAATAATCTTAATTTGATGTTTCTTTTAGGCATATTTAAATTAATTTCTAAATTTATTCATAAAAAAAGTTACCTTCAGTATTTTCAAATGAACCCTCAGAATAGAAAATATTGCTGTGATTAAAAAAAACAACAACAACAACAGGACCAGAACAGACGTGGGACTGACAATGTCCCTGTGATGGAGGCATATTCATCACCATCCATACATGAAGCAGAACCTGTCACATGCTGGTCCTTCAAATGTACTGAAACACCTTTTGATTCAGTCTTCCATTATTGAATCAGAACCTGTAGTTAAGCTTACATCCACAGTTGAACCAGAACCTGTGGTTACACCTGCAGCTGAACCAGAACCTGTGATTGCACCTGCAGCTGAATCAGAACCTGTGGTGGCACCTGTAGCTGAACCAGAGCCTGCACCCTCAGCTGAACCAGAACCTGTGGCTGAGCCTGCACCCACAACTGAGCCAGTACCTTTGGTTGCACCTGCAGCAGAACCAGAACCTGTGGTTGTACCAGCAGCTGAGCCAGAGCCTGTGGTTGAGCCTGCACCCTCAGCTGAAGTTGACCCTGCAGATGAGCCTACAACCTCAGCTGTGCCAGTATCTGAGGCTACATCAGCACCTGTATCACAAATGTCTGTAGGATCGGAATCTGAAACAGTTGTTGAGAATGTCACAGCACAGTCAAGCACACCTGAAGGTTTGAAAATTAGTGTTACCTGAAAAGTATTGTTTTATTTTACTGCCTGTGTATCGTTGTATGCAAACATAGATTATTCAATATAAAAAATTATTGAACCCATATGTGTGGGACCTGGTAAAGCATGACAAAACAAATCTTCTGTAGTGGGTTTTAAGGTATATATTAGTGTTTCCGAGTCATATGAAGTGCTTCAAGACTTCTTTCTCCCTTACTGTGATATTATTTGAAAACAAACACATTTTGTCTATTCAGGAAAATTTGCAAGTCTAGTGCACATGACATTATCAGCTCCACAATTTTGTTGACATATTGCATAATGGCATATTTATGAGTTTAGTGATTGCTAATTTGTAACAGTGCCAATATATATACTGTAGTTGAATTTATCATTTGGCTTGACTACAGTTGGTGTGATAAAGAGAAACTGGTACTGAAGTCCATCAGAAACACAATACAGTGCTGGAGAACCTGAGCTTCAATAGTGCTACAGTACCTGAAGTTTCATATGTAAAAATGATCTGAAAAGTACTATATAACTACATGCAGTATATCTATATATCTTGTACTGTATCTCCATCCATATAGACTTCAATATATTGAAGTGATTTGATCCTCTACATTTTAGGAGAGTACTGTTCTGTGTTTGAGCATCATATCAAACTAGGACATATTATACTCAACAAACATTACTACCAATTGATCCACTTTGAAGCTTATTCTTGTGTCATCATATAGTATTAATATGTAAAGTGAAGGAGTAAAGTATGCTTATATGACAAAGGTCCTTGAAATGTTTCCACTGATTTCTAAAAAGTACAAGAGAACAACACGAGAATAAGGTATGTGCATCCTTTGGGAGTACTGTTTGTCAGGCAAAAATATTTAACTTTATGCATCGTGACAAATAACAGTATTGCATGTCTTTGTACAGTGTCTCTGAGTTGACTTTGAACGGGTGTATTATCAGTGTCGTGGGAATGTGGTGTAGTTATGACTGTGATTCATTGATATTTATATACCTGCCTGATTTTCACTTACAATAGGGAAATGAGAATTTTTCCTCAGGTGAATAGTTCATCAAATATCAGTAATTAAAAAGATGTATCCATTTTACAGTCAATGAAATAAACACCTTACAACCTTCTGATATGAACAACCACTTGATGAAATCATTTTCCAGTATTGCCCCCTCACATGTTACTCTACATGTATTCTGTAGTTTTGGTAGTGTATTTGTACTTACGTTTGCATGCACGACACATTAACTAACTTCTTTTGTACATGTGATATTTTTGTTAAGTCAGTACACATTATGTGTCATGGATTTTGGTGTGGCCCTTGTTGGTTTGACTACCCATTTTGTCCTTATCTGATACTGGTAGTTTATATATGTCATGCCCTTGTTGCAACTAAGAAACAGGCCCCTGACATGTGTGATCACCATAAAGATAAACCATTTGTTATACATATTGTATTTCCTCCCTTTTATTGCAATAATTGAAAATTGTAATGAGTATTTTTTTAATAGGCTTTGTTGAACTTTGCTTTTAGTATATTAAACTATTTCCAGTTGGATGCATTACCCCCTTACTTTTTGTAATCTTATCTGTGATATTTACTTATATTTTATATTAATCTTAGTTATGTTTTCTTCTATCAGTCAAGGTGCTTGCAGCTCCTGAACATGTACCTTACCTAATTATTGGTGCAGGCACATCATCTGTTGCTGCCTTTAGAGCCATTAAAGCTAAGGATGCCAAGGCCAAGGTCAGTTCCAAGTGTCACTGTGTATTGTACAGATAAATTTAATTAAATTCTATTGTTTGTAGGAACTGTACTTTTAGAAGTTAGAACTTATTTTTGATTATGAATTATTGTGAGTAGAATGAAAACAAATGTTATTCACAACTTTTTAGTATTATATCTTCCCATTTATGTCCTGTGTGAGATTTCTGTCAGTCAAAATATTGGTACCTGTACGTATACTCAAAGCCTAAACATTTTTGGCTTTGGGTGCATATTTCTGATTGAAATATGGAAAATAGCATATATGTGTCTCAACAGTTGTACATTTACCACTACTGTAGTTACTGTATACAGTATTACATTCTTGGCAGGTGCTTGTGATATCAGCTGAGGGAGAGAACCCTTATATGAGACCTCCTCTCAGTAAGGAATTATGGTATAGTGACGATATTGATGCCTCCAAAAACCTTCGCTTCAAGCAATGGAATGGCAAAGAGAGAAGGTAAGGCAATAATATACAGGTACAGTGTTATAAAATTTGCATTTAGGTACTCTTGCTGGACATTAACATAAATGCATTTTATTACAGTATATTAAAATAAATTGCCATATAAGTAACTATTAATTAATAACATTCAATTGTTTTTTAATGTTACATATTTAAAATTTAAAATATATTGGTACTACTGTATGTGCACTATTGATTGGTGAATTAAAGTAGTATTTTTTATCACTTACTGCCATAGTCCATGCTTGTGTGAGTTACCTGTGGTTACCCTCTAATACTCCTGGCCATGGTCAGAAATATCATCCCCTCATAATCTTTCGACACAGGAAGCATCAATAACAGGAAAAAAATTTCCATTTTAGTAAACCTTGGATAGAGCGATCCAGGCCCAAATTGCACCCTTTGAGATACATTTACCAGCCCACAAAGCTAGTGGGAGGAACTTAAGGGGTTGATAGGGCCGATCCACTGTTCCAGTGTTTCTGCTTATGGGAGGGGTGTTCTCAGTGTGATATACAGCTGGGCAGGAGGGGTCGGGCCAGCACGGGAGCGCTTAGTAATGCAATCTGCGTCTACAAACCATTTAAAAGGTTAACAGCATGGTGTCTGGGATGCTATCATGCTAATCTGAAACAAGTTTTATTGCTGGATGCCCTTCCTATCACCAACATGCTTTTACAGAGTGGTAACTGTAAAACACGTGAATAGTTTAATATTCTTAGATGTTTATTATCTCTTCTGTCATTTGGGAAGACGTCAAGTAGTCCTGGGTGGAAAATTACTTCTCAGAAAAACTTAGAATATATTATAGACTTGCAGAAATAAGGCTGAAACCTTAAATCATCTGGGATTACCTTGTTTGATGATATGACATACTGGGTTTACAGTTTTTCTCGGTTAATCTTAAATCAGATGATTATTAATAACTTTTGTAACATGGAAGGTTACCAGGTACTTTAGATATTTAAAGTCACAACAAGTAATAGAGGTAATTTTATCATGTTTTGCAATTCATGAAAAATGAAATGCATGTAATTTAATATTGAATATACTGCCTCAGTTATGTGGTCTGAAGTGGGGTACATCTTGAAGTTTTGCATGTTTTCAGTATATACTTTGAGCATGAAGACTACTACACCTCTGCTTCTGAGCTTGCATCCAGAGAGAATGGTGGCATCTCTGTCCTTAAAGGGCGTACAGTTGTCAAGTTAGATGTACATAAGAAACGTGCCTTCATGGATGATGGAAGTGAAGTTACGTATGACAAGTGCCTTATTGCCACAGGTGTGTAGTGAGCATTAATAATGTGATTTGATCTTAAAGCAATTTTTGTCCTTTTCACCACATTGTTGCATAAATAATAACAAAGTTAGATTTTTTTAAGATAAGTTTTTTACCATTAGTTTCTAATGTCGGTAGGGTTAAGGATATTTTATTTTCTTAAATGTAAATTGTAAATACAAAAGAATCCTTTTACAATTCCACAGGAGGTAGTCCTAAATCCCTGCCAGTACTTGATAATGCTGGAGAAGATGTCCTGAAGAATGTAACTCTGTTCCGTTCTGTTAATGATTACAAACGTCTTCATGAAGTGGCCCAGGAAGGGAAACACATCACTATTGTTGGTGGTGGTTTCTTGGGCTCAGAGCTGGCATGTGCTCTAGGTCATAAGGGTAAGTATTTGTATGATTATTTTTGGTTTGCTTTGAGTTAAAGGACAAGTAGTAAATATTTTCATATCCAGTATGTAAGATATATTTGGAATTTGGGGTACGGGATAATGCCAGGATAAATTTTATATCACTCTTAATAACGTCCGTAGTATGTATTGTTTCAGAATTTAATTCTAAAAACTCCTTTGTTATACTGTACAGTATTTAGTATCTGAAAATTGGCCCTCAAAATCTGAAATATGTGTAACAGATGAGAATTGGCTCTTTTGGTACAGTATATGATGAATCTAGAATATACAAAAGTTTCTATTGTTTTAAACTTTAAGCATCCTAATTCTGTACTGTATATGCAGATAATACTGGTCATATCGTGTTGTCCATAATATTTCGGGTTTCTTTGCCAGATGTCCTCGCAAGTTTGTAAATTTCAAGTCATCATATTTCTCCATTTTTTGTTTAGTCCTTTGAGTTTTCCACATATTGATTTAGTTCATTAAAACAATTCTTGGCTGATCTTCCTATTCTGAATCCATATATCCCTCATCAACACTAAAAATTTTACATTTTCTTTTCACTATTACAGTACTGTATTAACTTTTTGAAACCCAAGTTTGCATTTGTTGAGGCTAAAATCAGTAAATTTAGTTATACTGTTCTGGCTTTTCCTATCCAGTATGTCACATACAGTCTTATCAGCGTGTTCCAGGACATTTACCAGTTTTCTGCTTTGTACAATTGGGGAAAAATATTCCACCCCACATTGCTGTGGCCAGCAGAGACATCAGGCAGCTCTCTCATAGTAATAAAAAGAGAACATAGCAGACCTTTGTGAATAAACCAGCTTTGAACTAGTGGGGGTGACATTTGGATGAAACCAGTTGCTTAAGCATATTTTTATAATAAATTCCTTATTCTCACTTCTGATTCATAACTTATATGTTTACTACTGTACTACTAGAGAGTTACTGGATGTCTCTAATGGCCACAGCAATATGGGGCCGAATATTTTTCCCCAACTGTACATGTTTCAGGAAAATTTTTTATTATTTTAGCTCAACAGTTCCTTTTCTTCTCAGGTATTAATAATATTTCATTCTATATATTCTGCACTAATTGTGTAAAATGTACCACACACAACTAAGATTCACAAGGCAGAAACGATCTAGATAATATAATATACATTACATAGAGCACAGTGACTCAGTCCTAGTATAGCAAGAGATGCTGCTCCTGACTCATGGTGAGTGCATTCATGATTGGTGACAAAAAACTCAGTACTTGTGCCGAGCTGAGCCAACAATGGTAAACAGGGATTTTGCCGTGCAATATAAAGTTTACTTACATTTTGTAAGTTGTACAATAACACTAAAAAAAATTGGGGTCACATCATACAAGTTTTATTATAGTTGTACAGTATATGAACCAGTCTGACTGAAACAAGGTTACAGGTTTATGTAACTTGAGAAGGTAACTACAGAATAGCAATACTGTACATATAAGATAAATGCATTTTATCTGTACTCTTCTGCTCTTCCTGGACTTAACAGCAAAGACAACCAGTGGTGCAGTAACACAGATTTATCCGGAGTCTGGAAACATGGGCAGGGTCCTTCCTGAATACCTTTCTAAGTGGACAACAGAGAAGGTCAAGGCTGAAGGTGTAGACATCATCACAAATTCAATAGTTGAAGGTATCAAGTCTGCAGAAGAAGGGAAAGTAGCATTATCCCTCAACACTGGCAAGGAGGTAAATATTTTTTCTTAACCTTTTATCAAATGTTATACAATATAGTATGTCATTTTAAAGCAAGAGAAACTGTGATTGAGGTTATTCACAAGATTAAGTTCCTGCAGTTCTCATAACATCAGTTGTGCTGAAGACTTTTAGGTTTGAAGTCTAACACTTGAACTCAGAGGAAAAAACATTGCCACAGAAACCATGCGTGCCTCTACTCCGAGAGAGGAGTGAGCAATAGACTAGGGTGTTGCTGAACCAATCACTGGCTAGACTTATTTTAAGATGTAAAATATGTTTTTTCCTCAATTTGCATCCATATACAGTATGTCTGTACATAACTTTTCTTCATATTTTAGCAGTTTAAGTCTAAATATTCTTTATTATACTTTTTTGTGTTGTAGCTAATAATTTAGTGAATTTTGCTGCTTAGCCACTTCATAGCTTTCTCTTATTTCCATGTTAGCCTATGTAGTGAGGTGACTTTTGCTATCAAGTTAAAATTGGTGCAAAATATATAGCTTTTTTTATATCCTTTAAAAGCTTTGATAAATATTTTTTAGATTATTTTCCAAATATTTTTTTAAAATACACATCCTACAGGTTGTGACAGATCATGTTGTTGTAGCAGTTGGACTTGAGCCAAATGTGGAGCTAGCACGATCCTCAGGTCTAGAAGTTGATGAAACACACGGAGGTTTCAGAGTTAACGCTGAGTTGGAGGCACGGTCTAACTTGTGGGTGGTGAGTATTGTACAGAAAGAGGACTCATCTTTTTGGTGTGTAGCTGTTGCATTTAAATTTATTAGATTTTTATTTAATTTTTTCCACTTTGCTGAGATATTACAGTGAACCCTCACTTTACGCGGTTAATTCAACCCACGGCGGCCCGCGTAAAGTGAGAAACGCGTAAAGTGAACAACATAACATATGGGATTAATTGAAATAGAGACCGGGCCAACCCCCAAACTCCACTTTTTCAGACGCAATACCTACGTTGTAGTAAAAATAACTTCTTAATTTTATGATGGTATGCACACACAATTAATAATTAAGAGAAATATCAATAATATTAGGTTTTTTAACACTTACATTAGTAGAAAAGATGGCTGGGCACACGGGGATGGGGGTTGGTTCCGAGGCAGAGGGCAGATTATTGGCCCTCACCTGTATCACTTGTATCAATTGTATCACTATCCACCACAGAGGCTTGCAGGGCCTCTTTGTCAAACCCCTCAAAGTCCATATAAGTCCATATCCTCACTATCATTATCACTATCACTGACTTGGGCCGGCTGTGGTGGGTGGCGGGTGAAGTACTCGGTAATGCTTTGATGACTGGGCGACCTTGTGCGCACCCTGCTCGCGCCGCTCTCCGTGTAAAAGGGTACTCACACTGCGGAAAGTGAGCATTCCGGTTTCGGCAGGGTACCGCGTAAACGTGGAAACGCGTAAAGTGGGACCGCGTAAAGCGAGGGTTGACTGTACAGTAAATTCCTGTTATCCATCTTCTATCAGTTTTCATCATAGTGAGACCACTTGATTCTCTTCCAACTTTATTTTGATGTACCAAGATGTATCATTAAAGTATAATAATGGTATTTTCCTATTAAATCATAGACATCTTTTTGAGAAAAAATTAAAATAAGAAGGCATAAATTACACTCACTTGAGCAGTTTAGATTTTCATTGGTACATTCTTGTACTGAATCCCAGCTTTATTACAGTACCTACCACAGATGTAGAAGGAACATATAGTATTTCCTTTGTGTAGATTTTGGAGTGTTGGGGTGAGTTTGTTTAGGTGATGAGCACTACAGCTTCACATATCACTCCAACTTACATAGTGACAATGTTTGTTCAAGGTTAAGTTTAGGGTTAGTTTACACAGGGCCAGCTTTGTTCTTTGGCCACTTTTTTCCAAACTTAATAAATAAGAATTTTTTATATATCTTTCCATGTTGTAGGCTGGAGATGCTGCCTGCTTTTATGACATCAAGCTTGGTCGTCGGCGTGTTGAACATCACGATCATGCCATTGTATCTGGCAGGTTGGCTGGCGAGAACATGGCAGGCAATGGTAAATCATGAGCCTTTTAAACTTTGCAAAATATTTTTTATAGAAATACTTTGATTTATGTTGTACAGAAAGTGCTTACTGTTTGTTCTGATTTGTGAAAGTTGGTGTGGATAGTGTGTCATATTTTATCATACTTGTTTGTGTAAACAGAATTATTCTCTTTTCCATTACTGTATGTATTTTTGTTATTTCATATTATTTGGTAGCTTATAACTAATTTCAATCCACAGTTTTATTTTCCTAACTTATTGTACTTCTGTATACAGGATACAGTACTTCAGTATCTTATATGAAACATTTATGTCATTGCAAAGGGTTAAGATCAACAGAGCTACGTGAACACTTGTACTGATTTTAACCTGATTTAATTACTACAATTCTCTTTTAATTAGTTTACAAAATTATTAGTTAACCATACATCAGTTTTCCTGATAGATCTGCCTGGCAGACTTTCTTTGACTCATGAATTTGTTGTTTCTTCTTCCTCTTTATTCTCTAAAAATGCTTTTCTAAAGAACTGCTGCTTTTGAAATAAAACTCCAACCACTTTTGTAATGCATAAGATATAGGTGAATTGTAGAAAGGAGAGGAAAAGACCAAGAAGGAGAGGAAGGAATGGGTGGACACAATGGAAAAAAGTAGGTGGATGGACATTCAGTATGTAGTGATGCTCATGAATAACCATAAAGCATAGTGTGAATGTATGGGGATGTATGTTTTGCTGATGAGTGAGAGGCTGTGTCAGGCAACAGGGATAAATCAGATAGATATTTGGGATCATGCTGTGTTAGGGGACACCATACTGTTTGTGATTTAGGGGAACAAATATTTTTGAATTTAGACCATGACTTTAAAGTGCTAGGTTGCAGGTTTGATTACCAGTTGGACTAGTGGATTGGGTTTTTAACAGAACAGAAGAAGCTCTTGGTGAATTATCTTTAAAAGAGTGCTGTAAACATCAGGGACACTTCTTATTGTGAAAACCCTCAAGTGGACAGCATCCTGTCAATCATTATAATTTATAATTTTGGATGCATTTAATGGCAAATTTTTGCAAATATGCCTGCACTCTTGCTCATTCTTTTGACTCACTCACTCCTTAATTTTGGTAACCCTTAATTTATTGTTATTATCTCATTACAGGTAAACCATACTGGCATCAGTCCATGTTCTGGTCTGATCTGGGACCTGAAGTAGGATATGAGGCCATTGGCATTGTTGACTCATCATTACCCACAGTTGGCATCTTTGCTAAAGCCACTACCAAGGACACACCCAGAGCTGTAGTGGAGGCAACAGGAGAAAGTTTAAGATCTGAAACAGAACAGGTAAGTGAACATTGATTAAAATTAGCCAAGCATCAAAAGGCATAAATTGTTTATGTTTGGAATTAAGAATTTTGAAATTAAAAAAAAAATTCAAGGCTTGTGTATACAGTATTTGATGGATGGGAGAGAAACACAGGTGTAAACGCTTTCTGAGCGTTTAAAGTTTAATCAGACTCTTCACGTTAAACTCGAACATTATAATTCGGTCAAACCTGTTGAATACAATTCATTTTAGTATTTCAAATAAATAATACATAGGCGATCGTACATTAATGTTTAATCCAATATATATTTACATAACAATCATGGCTATGTAATTAGTCTAATCTTAACACTTACAATGAGCACTTAATTTGCCATATTTTATGTTGTCACAATGATAAACGATGCAATGGACACAGACTACCTGTGTACACAATAAGTACCAGCCACACTTATGTGTTGAAAGTCTCAAGAGAAACCAGGTTAGGTGTTGCCTCTATGATCTGGATAACTACAGTGCCAGTACTTTGTGTCGCCTACCCAACCCTCGCTGCTGGTCGGTGACGCTGAGTCAGGTGTTCACGCATAAACAAGCTCCCCTTACACACTCCAACCTCCTCTGGGTCTCTCATCTTCCACCATCTCACTACTCTATATACTGTATATGGGCAGGCACACCCAATAAACATGACATGACTTACAGCCTAACATTATGTTTGTTTATGTGTCATCATACTCAGTACCGCTTGCGGGAACAACAGGTATGAGCTCACTTTCTTTATTTCTCTAATGTTTCGGTCTACGCAGAACCCATCTTCTCTGTAACCTGAAACGTTAGATAAATGAAGAAACTTAGCTAAACACTGTGCTTCCCTCCTACCCATCAAATCCACTTCTCGCCATGGATCGATCACACTGGCTTGTGTGTATAACGATTTCTTAAATATTTTTAAGGCATGTGTATGCAACATTTTTTTTTTTTTTTTTTTTTCTAGTTCAGATTATTGTCTTCCTTACATTATTGAATTATTACAAAACCAGTGGCAGTTTTGAATATCCATATTTTTTTATTTTGTATACCATTAGCCCAGAGACGAGGTAATGTTCACCGAGTTGTTCTATCAAGTGGTTCTTATGTTCACTTCATTGTGTTGGTGTTCCTCAAACAACAATTTTTTATAATCAACCATGTCCAAGTCCTCTTCCTTTTTGGCTCTTGAAATCAATTTGCTTATTTTCATCCTTCATATTATACATTAGATGGGTTTTTACTGTGGTGGCAATAGTCGTCACTTAACATACTCAGGGTAGGGGCAGCATCACGTCCATTGTTGTCCAGATGTAGCCACTCTGCTCACTGAGTCACTATTGTTCAAAAAAATTTATGCTGTACTATACTTACGTTTTTACCATAAATCAGTCTAATGGAACAAAATAAATGCAAAGATATGCCCTACATCCATGAATGTTTCTGTGTGTTCTTTGGGATAACCGAGACATGTGAAACAGATATGTTCCCTGACCTTATGTGTATTATATCATGTACATTTTTTTTGGGTGGGAAATATATTATTCATACACACATTTATGTATGAAGACATTGTAAGGTATAAATACTTCAGTTATACATACAGTATGTGTTGTGGAGGGAGAGCATTGAGGTCAGGCATGAAACTGCTCTAGTACACTGTTCTTTATAGATTTTTTAATACCTACACAGTGTACTGCATAGTTTTTTTATACTATATGATAAAGATTTTTTAGGTATAGCATAACAATTTTACTACGTACTTTTAACCTTACTCTGTACATTATTAAACTTTTTAGTATGTCTTGCTGGTCATTTCCCCAAACCCCATACTATTTCATATTCGACCCAGCTCTTGCCAAGTGCGGGAGATTTCTAAAATGTAACTCCTTGTGTAGGTAAGGGATTACTGTATTTGATGTACAGTACTGTACTCCGTTTTCCTTTGGTCATTCCCAAAAGTTAAGGTGTTGTTTCTCAGATCTGCCTGTGCCATGTTTCTCTGTCTTTGGCTTCTTCCACTCTTGCCTAATGTTTATCTTTCCCTTGGTTTTCTCCCTCTTTTTAGCTCATTCCAGAATTTTAATCACCTTATATTACATGCCATTCCTGTTCTTCTGATTTCTTCATGTCTTGGCTTGTCCCTCAGTAACACTTTCAGTATCAATGTGCACTAGTCCCCCAAGAAAAATGATCAACACTGAGAACCCCACAAGTTATGTAAATTGTTTTGTTTTATGATGTCATATTTTTCTAGGTTGCAGACACAACTGCCTTAGTACACTCCAGTGCTCCTCATGCTCCTGTCAGAGGTGAAGACTACGGCAAGGGTATAGTGTTCTACCTCAGAGATAACATCGTAGTAGGCATCGTGCTATGGAATGTTTTCAACAGGATGCCAATTGCAAGAAAGGTGAGATATGAACTTTAAGGGTGTGATGTTGCTTTGCGTATTCCTTGTGGTAATTATATGTTTTATTTATGGTGGTACCTTTTTTAGCTGTAACAATTGGTGCAGAACACTTCGGGGAATGAGAGATTTCAGGGTAACAGGATCACTCTTTCAAGGCTGGAAAAAAAATCCCTCATCCCCGGAATTTTCCAGGTACTGTACTACACTGGGAAAATTTTCTTGGAAGTTCCAGAAATTGCACATTACGTCATCTCTCAAAGCCAGAAAAAAAAATCCAAGAGTCAAAGAAAGTCTGCCAGGCAGATCTATCAGCAAAACTGATCAAACTAACTCAAAAGAGAATTGTAGTAATTAAATCTGGTTAAAATCAGCACAAGTGTTCATGTGGCTCTATTGATCTTAAACCTTTGCAATGACAAAGATTTCAAATAAGATATTGTAGTACAGTACTGTTTACCGAAGTACAATAAGTTTGGAAAATAAAACTAATGCTTTAAATTAGTTATAAACTACTAAATACAGTACAGTAATATCTCTGTTAGCCTTCTGGTAGTCTTGGCTACTCCATGTGTTGGTCACACAATATATATATTTGTATATATATTAGTTCTTGATTTGATAAGTGGCAGGGCTGAAGTAAACACTTTATTGGTTTTATTTTATTGTAGAAAAATATAGTTTCACAGGTACTGAGTTCAGTTGAGGGTACGTATGTTGTACCTTCTCTTATACACTAAGGGAAGTGTCTTAGTGCACTTATATGAGAGAACACTTAAGTGAGTTGTTCACTGGGTAACAGGTGATATGAAAAGTCTCTCTCTCTCATGCGCATCCTGTGAGGCAAGGTGCCTTACAGGATATGCGTCAGGATGTTGTCAGTGCTCCTCACACGATGTTGTTGAAAAGTGTTGACCCAGCTTGACCTCGCTAGCTCCATGGAGGAAATGTCAACTCGCCAATTGATTCATACTCATGGATGAATGACTTGGTGAATACATGGGTAACATACATTGGGTATATATTTATATAATACAAATTGCTGTTACATCCACACGAGCATAGAAAGTGGCGATGATGACATTGATATTTTGAGTACAATTATCTTCTTAAATCTATCAATAACAAAAACACATATAGCACTGTACAGCATCACCCAAGTATAAAAGATAAAGAATTGAGATCAACTTTTCCAAGTTGCTGTTGCACATAGGCAAAACCTGTTTAGAAGACAGAATTTTTAATTTGAATTTGATATCAAACTCGCTTTTAGAAAATCCATAACTAAAACATTATTTGTGAGCCAGAAGTGAAGAGCACGCACCTCTTCTCTGTTTAGCCACCGAGTAGGGACATACTGATGAGACGCACAACCACCAGTCCACCACCACACAACTATGGTACTGTACCACATTCATTGGTAAAAACCTAAAATGCACATCAAACAAGACCTGGTATATTCAATGTATCCCCCCCATGTCTTGCCATGAAAAAAATACGGTATGAGATAAAATCTGGGGGAAAATGTAATTTTGCCAAAGCATTTGGTCAATATTGTGTACAAATTTTAGCTTCTTAGCTCAAAAATTGCCTGAGGTATTGTCTGAACAAGCAAGCAGGAAAGAAACAGACAGAAGAACTACTGAGTACCCACATTTGGAACTCGTATTCTTGGGGCACGCACTTCACGAGGCACCTGGCAATGGAATAAGGGTGGGAGGCAATGAACTTTGATGAATCCTCAAGTTCATAGTGGAATATTAAAAAATATATATATATACAGTGGTCCCTCGGTTAACGAGCACAATCCGTTACAGCAGGTTGCTCGTTAACCGAAACCATTGTTTCAATGGGTTTTTGGGTAATTGGTTCCAGCTCACCGAAAATTGCCTAAATTCAACAAAAAAGGTAGATAAGTACACTTACTTTGAGCTGTGTATGTAGAAGGCTCCTGGATGATGATGATGATGAGAATGGGGGTGGAGGAGAAGGGAGAAGAGAAGGCATTGGGGTGGAAGAGAAGTCACCCCATGGTGCCATTTCACCCATAAAATTTTAGTTCTCTTGGTTAAATTCAAGATTATTTTCCTTAAATCAACACTGCTTTGCATTATATATTGTCAATATGTAAATTAAATTTCAAAATGACCAATAATTTGCATGCAAACACAGAAAAAAGCATTTAGTTGAAGAGAGTCTCAAGCAAGAGACTGGCGCCTGTTTGGTGTGTTGGCAGGCTGGATGGCGCGCATGAAACTAGTGTCTTTACCTTCAATTAAGTTCAATAATTGTTAAAATGACTAAAAAATTTAATATTAAACTTTTAAAATTGAATAGTATAACTTCTTGATATTTACTAAAATAGTAAGGAATTTAAGCCCTAAAACCGATTACTGTATTGGCGGACTAATACTACAGCTGGACCGCCAAATGCAAGCGAAAACATGTTGAGGTCGGCTCGTAAAAAACTCGTTAATCGAGGGATTGCTCGTTAACCGAAGTTAAGAATCTTATGGAAGGTAAATTGTTAACCGAAATCTCGTTAACCGAGGCGCTCGTTAACCGAGGGATCACTGCATATGGGTTTATGAAAGTTATCACATCTAGTAGTCATTAGATAGAACTGATGTCTTCCTAACAGATGTAAGAGTAGTGTTTTTTTTTTTATTACATTTTGACTTTATGCTATACTAATGTTTTCATGTGTTTCTCATAGTTGACTCAACCCTTTGAATTGTGATTTCAGATTACGTTACTGTACAGTATATGAATACTGTATGGTGTACTATTATAGTTTGCACTCCAAGCTATTATTATAATGCATATGTTAAATGTAGGCTCAATGGATCAGTTTGATACCTTGTTTGTGTCCGGAGGTGCTTAATGTACGGGTATATGATAATTTGGGTCATAATACCAAGGTTAATTGCACTCAGTCATTTGCAAAATTCACATGTTCACCAGATTTTGGGTCTCAGAGGTGTGCAAACTAGGGGGCTTCTCCTGTAATTACTTTTTACTTAAGCCAATTAAGCCAGCTGTTCCCCCAAGAGAACAGTTGCATCATAGATTTGTTTTCGTAATGTTTTTTTTTTTTTCTTTTCTCTCCAGATTATTAAGGATGGCAAGAGTTATGATGACCTCAATGAAGTAGCAAAGCTCTTCAGTCTACATTCAGAATAATGAAAGTGCTGTAGTTATCCCTATATTCCAGTTTATTCAATTATTTATTGTTAATTTTTATTGGCATTTATGTGCAAATTTATAGTTTTTGATGGACACCAGATATATATAAAGTACACTAATTGAATTTTTCGAAAATGGGTCACATTTAATGCCATAAATTAATGTCCTCATAAGTTTAAGTATTTAATGAAGGTGTTGAGTAAAGCCATAAAACTGTCCATGTTTTTAACCACAGATATAAGGACAGTGTTTCTGCTATGGTTGCCAAAACTAAGGTCTAAGGGAGATTGATTTAGGCTAGATGGTAAATCTCTGTAGAATAATGTCAGGGATTTATAGTCAGACATTTAAATTACATTTGCTTGAATTCTTATATACTGTACATAACATTTTCAGGTATTTTTTATTGCTGGACTATACAGAAAAATATAGATGTTGTTTGCAATGGGAGTGTGTATAGGTGTATCAGTGCTTGAATTAAAGCATTTATTTATGGAGTAGAAGAGATAATGTTCTTATGCTGCCATTATAAGACTTGGAGACTTGACCAAATTTCAATTAGTAATTGGAACATACAACCAAAATTCTTCATTAAGATACTGTACTGTACAAGCTTTAGATGTCTGAATCCAATGAGAACAGTAGTTGATGGCCTTAACATGGTGAAGGACGTTTGTCTTATACTTGTTGTCAAAATAAGTTTCATCAGGAAAATAACTACAGTCATTCTATTGCTCAACAATCTTATTTTAATAATATTTCAGTAACTTACATCACTTGGATCAAAACTGTGTTGAAATTTGGGTGATCCTAATGCCAAGAATATTGAAAAATTCCTTTGATGTTGAATGAATCCCAATATTGCCCCCATAGAAACTAGCCAATGTGTCTTTTATTCTCTCACAAGAATACAGAGTGAAAACTTTAATACCATAGCTAGATCTAGCTGTTCACAGTTTTTTTGGCAGGAAGCTTGCCTGTATTTAAGTTGTGTAAGGAAATGTGTAGAATGGTCATCCTTGGTGGATGAGCTCTTTCATGCTGCCCTTTACACTTTCATTGTGCTCCTGTCCATTTCCTCCTGTCAAGGTTTTTGTTGTCATTGATCCACCCTATACGTCTAGGAGCAGATGAAAGAGAATTAATAGATGGTGTACAGTGTAACTGATTGGCAGTGCACCTCTCAAAGTAAATGAAATACTGTACTGTAATCACTTTTAAACTAGGTATTTGTTTAATCTTAATTAGGTTAGTGTAATGGATTTGACAGTCAAAATGGTTTTGATGTGATGTATTCATGAACAAATGATATGTTAGCTAATTTCTATGGGATATTTTATTTTATTTTTTTTTCTGGTTGCTTTCCCAAGGATATTGAATGTTGATACAATGAAAGCCACGGATATGTTAACCCTCTGGTACTCTTGGCCATAGTCAGAAATCTCAACTCCTCGCAATCTTTCGACACAAATAGTGTCGTTTACAATCTCATGCCCTCACAGTCTCGATGCAGGTTGCAGTAGTAACAGGAACAGTTTTTCCATTTTAGTAAATATTGGGTCGAGCGATCCAGACCTAAATTGCACCCCTAGAGATGCATCTGCCACCGCATGAGGCTAGTGGGAGGAACTTAGGTGGTTATTAGGGCCGGTCCACTGTTCCTGAGTTTCTACTTATGGGAGGGGTGCTGTCAGTGTGAGATACGGCTGAGCAGGAGGGGTTGCGCCAGCATGGGAGCGCTTAGCGATGAATCTGCTTTAAAAGATCATGAGTTTGTCTTTATAGCCTGACAACAATCCAAAGAGATACATGAGTTTACCCATCAAGTTAATGGGTTGACTTCTGGTACTGTACTTATATAAACAATTAGTTTAACACTTGTGACAACTGTTCCCTTCACAGTGGGGTCTAGGTGTCATAAATTTAATGTAAAGAGCTAGTCATGTCTTGGTGTCACAGCAACTTGTGTGTGCATATTTCTTTATCCATCATTGAACATATTAGATTTTCATCACAAGGCCTCGGTCCAACCACCTCCCTGCTTATGTCTAAGGGTTACTCCTGGCCTCACAATAATTCAGTCCATCTATCGGGATATAGTAAGTACCATAACATGCAGGAAGTTATATCTTGAAATGCCTCATAAAAGGTTCAAAACGCATAAGATATTGCTTGCAAAAGGGTTTTATGACAAGACCCCGTAATGTGGGGAAAAAAATGCATCTGATAAGCAAGTGTCACTCCTTGCCTGCAGCCAGTGGGAGTCAGTATGTAGTGAATTGTGAAATAAATTAGGACACAGGGTTGGAAGACAGTCTGGTCTTTGATTGATGGACTATGGCATCCATGGGGTTAGATTTTTGGGGGAAAATGTAGCTACAACTGACACTAAACCTTTTGTGGTGGCATGCTGGTAAGATTCCTCAGAGTCACAAAGCAAATAGTATTTAGCATCTTTGGGGCTTTTCCAGAATGCTTTTTGTTTGGTAAACTGGAATTTGTTTCAGTTTATAAGGTTATGGATTTCCAGTTTTAAATTTGTAATGAGAAATGTGTCTGCTAATTCTTAACCCATTTGATGCAGTTACTGCACCCCAAGTGCTAAACAATGCCAGTGCAATTGCCACCCATATATGGTACATTAAAAATTTTCATGCCCATACTTTGAATCTTATTGCTAGATAGATTCATCCCATGCAGGTAGGCGGTCACGACCCACAAATTATCTCTAGCCTGCCAGTGTCTTCTCAGCCATTGCCGAGAGGAGACATATATTCAAGTCAGATATTCTGAGTATTGTACCACTAATCCCCTACCCTGCTTTAGGTAATCCCACCTGACAGTGACAATGTCAGATCATAAACTTTTTGTGTATAAGCTCCTCTCATTTATTGTAAGTTCACTTACTCTGAAGATGAAAAAAATGTGTGTGCAGCTACACTCAAATTGTGGGCAAATACTGTTATTTATTGAAAAAAATAAAATAAAATAAATTATTTTTACATTGTAGGTCATACTTGTTTTTTTGTACATATATTATTTCATTTTTCAACTTTTCCTTCACACTGATGGTGCAGATATCTACTCGGGATTCACATTGAAAGAGTCAAACTGTGTTTATATACAGTGTGCTTTAGTAAAGATGACATAAACTTTTCCACCAATTTGTCCTTTGAGCCATTTACAGGAGTAAGTACTTATTTGGATCCTTTCGGAGAGTACCTGTGAGATAGTTCCACGTCACTTGGCCCTTACAATTAGTTTTTAGATTCCAATGGTGGACTATCTAAAGTCTTTATTTCCACAATTGTAATTAAGATGTTTGGACTTGCACAGTAAGGTGTTCACAACATTTATTAGCTTTCCTGAGAGACATCCCTATCCACTCTAGGACTAAAGTCATGAACAGCTGCATGGAACCTATACTAGTGACCTCTGGCAAAGAGGAAAATCATAATTGTATAAGATAAGAAGTTTAAAGGTTTTAAAATTAAAATATAATATACCAGAAAAATCACATGTGGTTAAGTATCCCCATTGCAGATAAAAATTTATCTCATTGCCAGAGGTCACTAGTGTAGGTTCTGTGCAGCTGTCCATGATTTTAGTCCTAGGGTGTACATTCTCTTTAAATGGGGGTTCTTGGTCTTAGGTAGTGTCCTTTATCGGGAGTTATCTAGATGAGCAGATAATGCAAGAACATTGTGTGGCATCAGGGAGTTTGTAAGGTTCTTGTGATAATTCTAACTGTAACTTCTAGTTGCCTCCTAAATGAAGTACAGGTGCTCAATAGCACTGGACCGATATCAAACTATCCTGGGAAACTCCTTCTGTACTTGTGTTGGGCCAAGGGGATAAGTTCCCCCACCCCCTCCTCCTCCATTGGGTTCTTTTATGGAGTTCAGTCAGACTGAGGCCTGTTGGTTGATATCAAGTATAACCACTGACAGACACTGATTGGTGTTCCTGCAGCTCTCAGCCTTAAGTTGTATACCCTTACCTCTTGGAACCCTGCCTGAGAGGTACATTTATAACAGGAGAATAGAACAAATTATTTAAATTAGTGCCAGCCTGGCCATAATCATAATAAATTAGTCTGGCCTACAACCCACAGACTTGATGGATGAAATCTTGAGTCTCCTTGGCCTGACGCTTCTATACAATGGGATTTCCAGGATGATCAATCTTTAATTTATTTTTCTATGGATTCCTCCCAGAAACTTCATCATTATGCTGTCTTGGTAGTTCATTCATCTTTCTTATTCCGTGTGTTTAGAAAATAATTTAAAAACTCGTCTACATTATACATATGAAAGTCATAGAAGTCAATGAGGGATTTCAGCAGATGAAAAACTGTTATTCTTGATATGGGCCAGCAATTGGTACTTACTATTGAAAGTATACTATCCTGTATATGGTCTATGAAAAGACCTTAAATCATATTGTTTAACACTTCTGTAAAACAAAATTGTCAAATGTTACTTTGTTTCTTTAGCAAAGATTTCTAAAGTTTTAAGAATCGTTAGGATTTGCAGAGTAAAACAGCAACCAGTGTAAATCTTTCTCTAAGTACAGTAATAGGGTTCATTATTGGGATTTATGCATTCCTCATTACACTTGGTAAAAGCACCTCCCAGAGCTTGTGTCAAAGTGTGGAAGATTGAGTAATTGTGGATTGTATATATGATGATGCTGTAGAACACAAATCATGCACAGCTTTGTACATAGTGTAAGAGGCAACAAATAAATGCTAGAATATCAGTACAAAATATTTTGATAAATTTTTGTGTCATTCATACCTAATTTGTTATTATCATAGGAAGCTAATAAGATTATGTTATATGGACTGAATAAAAATAAAATTATATACGGTGTCCCCAGGTTAGGAATGGGTTCCTTTCCCAAGTCGGATTTGTATGTAAGTTGGAACACGTGCTATGTGTATATCATACTTACAGAACAATGTTTAAAATCCCACTATACATATCATAGCCTAGGTCCTTATATACATCTAAAATCACATAATTTAAGACAAAAGAAGAAATATAATGACAAAATCCAGTAAAATGAAAGTAAAAAATAAGTTATCAAGTAAATAAAATCCAGTAAATTTCAAGTTTAACCCCGTTTGTATCGGCGGGTATTCGTAAGTCGGGGACCCCCCATGTACTGTATTGTAATCATTAGACTACAAGAGTCTTCCTTTGGTTTAATCATAAGAATTATATCATTGTCTGTCTGTCTTTGAACAGATCCAATGGTTATGGCAGTGATTTTCAACCTTTTTCATCTCACGGCACAGTGAGCCAGGCACTAAAATGGTCGAGGCAAACCATCAATATTTAAGGATGGATTTGATCGGCAGATCTACACTACGGAATTAAGGAGAGAATTTAAAACTGCCATTTGGGCTTTTAATGAACAAACACATTTGTTTATTTATTGCATCATTGAAAAAAAGGAGTTTAGTTTAATGCACTCCATAAAAGTACCAGTAATGTCAAAACATGTCCAAATGCTATTTTTTAAAATGCTATCCAAATGCTATTTAAACTCCCGCGGCACACCTACGGATGCTTCGCGGCACATTGGTTGAAAATCGCTGGGTTATGCAATTGGAACTTTTATTATGAATTAGTTAGAAATGAAGAAGAATAAACTTATTGTGTGAGAAGTTATACAGTGGACCCTTGAAGATCCAGGAATCTTTCCTCTGGAATCCCCCAAAGCTCTCCGTCTCAAATTATTTTATTAAATTCCAATACAGTAATATCCCCATTAGCCGGAACAATTGATGCAGAGCACTTCCAGGAATGAGAGGTTTCCAGATCACGAGATGACTTTCAAACGTAGAAAAGATTCCCCCTCCCGGGAATTTTTCCGAGTAATGGGAAAATTTTCCACAAATTGTGCATTACAGTGGTCCCTCGGTTAACGAACACAATTCCTTCAACAGAGTCCTTCGTTAACCGAATCCATTGTTTCAATGGGATATTGGGTGATTGGTTCCAGCTCACAGAAAAGTACATACTGTACAAAGTAAAAAAAATAATGCAGTAAAGTACACTTACCTTGAGGTGTGTATGTACAGTAGAAGGTTCCTGGTTGATGATGATGATGGGAATTAGAAGTGGGGGTGGAGAGAAGGGAGAAGAGAAGGAAGTGGGGATGGAGGAGAAATCACCTATCGGGACCCATGATTGATACCGTCATTTCACTAATAAAATTTTAAGTTCACTAGGTGTAATTCAAGATTATTTGATTTAAATCAACACTGCACTGCACTATATATTATCAATATGTTAACTAAATTTCAGAATGACCAATAATTTCAATGTAAAAATGCAAAAATATTCAAGATGCCAACAAACTAGATGTTCACTCCACCGTCAACAAAGCCAAACTGACGCCTGGTGGCTGAGTCAAGCGGCTGATGGGTGCACAAAAAATAGTTCCCTGTAGGTACTGCATACAGTATATTATCAATATGTTAACTAAATTTTAATATAAAAAATGCAAAAATATTAAGAGCACAACTTTCTTGATATTTACTCCACTGGAAACGAATGTAAACATAGAACTGAATTACTGAATTGGCAGACTAGCCCATCAGCTGATCAGCTGAAGCTCACATCAAAACGTGTTGTTCGTAAGGATTTTGTTAATCGAAGTTTTGTTCGTCATCAAATTGAAGATCCTTATGGGAGGTAATTCGTTAACCGAGGGACCACTGTACAGTATTTCATCCTCGGAATTTGCTCCCAGACCCAGAAACAATTTGGAGAGAGTTTCTGCAATTTTCTCAGAATTTTCCAGAATTAAACATTATTTCATCCTTGGAATTTAATCCAAAAATTGGGAAGAAATTGGATTGAGTTTCTGGAATTTAACAGAAACTGTGCCTGATTTTTAACCTTGGAAATTTGATTCCAAACCTAGATTTTAAGGAAAAATTCCAAGCAAATTTCAATCCAGGTATTGGAGAGTTCTGGCAAAACACAGTTCAGAACAAATGGCTGTTGTAGTTTCTGGTATTGCTACATTATTGTCCTGGGCTGTAATTACCTGCATTTCTGCCTGGGTATTGTCTTTTTGGTTCTTGAGCTTGTAATGATGTGCACTCAGCCATTATACTGATAAATTCAGTATTTCTTTGTGATCATAATTACTGTTTGAACAATGAAAGAAGTCAATACAGTACTGTATTACCCTTTACCATTCTTGTTCTACTTCCATATTTACTGACCCAGACATCACTTCTTTCAATGATCCAGGTAATTGTCCTGCTTATGACCTCTTCTGTATACTTTGGAAGCAGAGACTGGAGATTTTTGGTTAGAAATAAATAAATGAACATACTTTTTAACACTTTATAGAGTACAGTATATAAAAGAACACTGTCAAACGTAGGTAATGTTCGGATAGGATCAAAACAAGAAAAATCTGAAATCTGGCAGCTGTTGGTCCTGGTCATAGTACAGTAGATATATGTGCAGTATGCTCCCTTCGACCAGGTTCAGTGAGCTAGGCTAAATCCATCTGACATAGGAACCTCAGCTTAACAAAAAACTACTTGTCATCCCTTGCTTAATGTGTAGGATACATGACTAAAATCTCAGTTAAAGAATTGAAGGAACCTTCAGTGTTGAATAAAATAGTCTGGCATTAGCCAAATATAGTCCTAAAGTGGCTTGCTCATATTGAAGGGGTTAGTGTAGATATATCCTGGTGTTAGGCTGCATTGATGAAGCGCTAAGCCATGGCATTTTCCAGCTTCAGTGCTTCTATTGAAGAAGTGGTATGACCTGGAATGTTGGCTCTGTTAAAGATTCTTTAACCACTGTCCAAAAGAAACAGCCGACAGCTTTTCATTGTAAATGTAACATAATTACAAGGGGACTTTATCATATATTTTCTTAATTATTAAGCAGTCAATAGTTATCTCAAACAAAATCACTGAAAACAAGCAATACAGTATGATAGGAAATGTTCATTCTTTTTCGGCATTTACTGGAACATATCACCCACTTTACTTCTGACCCCAAAGACTCAAGAGTCCAACGTTCCACTTCATAAATATTACTAAGAAGGATAACTGACCTCCAAAGGATACCTTCAGGGACGACTACATGTCACTGTTTAGGTAAGAGAATTTGGTTATGATAAGATTTTTTGTGTTAGGAGGTAGGGTATGTTAGATTTTAGTACAGTATTATTGGTTTATTAAATTTACATATACTGTATTTTTTTTTTAATTGGCAGTCATGTTAAATCATGATTTCTGTCCTAAAATATGGAGCACTGATGCAAGCTTGAAATTGAGAGATAATGCTTTTGTTTGTAAAGAATTATGCAGATCTATGGTTATGAGTCAGACCACCATTAGAGGGCTAGTAAATGCTTCTGTAAACAATAACTTAAGACAGAGTGTATAGATATTGACATATGCTTACTGTAAAGCAGTTGGGGCATACTGATAGTGTGTCCAACCATGACATTCTTGTGTGCACAATGTCTCACTGATTGGATGATTGAATATTGACCAACTTGTGCCACAGATATGACAAACTTTATACCTGATAATATTTAGAGGTCTATGGATAGAGGTTAAGGAAATACGTACTAAAATGCGAATAAGTGCTTGTACATTTATATACTGTACTGTATATCTGAAGACTGAGTGATTGGACATTGACCAACTTGTATCACAGACAAAACTTACCAAGTCATACAGGTACACATAATTAAATTATGAAGGTCAGGGGTTAAAAGTTAGGTCAGGTGCAATGACTCGCAGATGAGGTGGGTTTGCGCTCCTACTCTTCCATTCCCAAACCACAAATGTGCCCATTTATTAGTCACAAAATTAATGTTAACCAATAAAATATGTTAAGAAAAAGGTGTCCCCATAATGTTGCTTGTATGTCACTGGTCTTGTGTACTAATTTCTAGCTGTACACTGAATCTTCATTAATTTGATATTACTGATCAATCAGATTTGCCCAAAATAATGATTCACAACATTTCAAAATTACTGTACTGTTCAATTGTATATTTTTGCCATAACTCTCCTTCAACTTTAGAGAAATGTGTGATTTTTACGGGCTGTGGGTTTTGATGTTTGACACTGGAAACCTCCCATGACATACAGTATACACTTGTACCTGTATTATTATTGTTTCCCCCCAAAAAAATCCTTAAATTCATCTTCAGCATCATTTAACAACTAGGTGATTTTTTTTTGGGGGGGGCGTATCCTCCTTTATATAATGGAACTCAAGTGGGTTACTTCAAGACTTTTAGGCTAATTATCTTCTTTTTTTAATAACATTACACAAATTCTGTATGGACAAAAAAAAATATTGAATTACAGGTAGCCCAAAATATCGAATTGCGAATATCAAATTATTGGTGTTTTAGTGTACATCTACCAAAAAAGTATTGCAATCTTTGCTGTACATAATATTCTGAAGCACAGGATGAAGTGTTTTAATATATATATACCTTGGGTATGATGGAGTGTAAAAACTACTACAGTATAGAGAAGTCATTTTACTGCGAACAGTACAGTACAGTATACTGTACTTGGAAGGTATGTGGGAGGCTCGTAAGGGAGGGTTTTGGAGAATAAGATACCGGTAATATAATGTTGGGTGAGGAATGGAGGAGATAGAAGTTCTTTAACAAACATTTTGCAATAAAAATACAGTACTTGCAAATAAATACATACAGTACATTGGAAAAAAATATATACAGTATTTATGGATTTGCAGAAGGCTTG